GCAGAAGTTGCCACCATTGAAGAGTTAACATGCCAATGAAGGCCAATTGAAATGTACTGAGGCCAAGCTCTTTGTAGTAACAGAGTGAGGCTTTAATAAAACCCAAGTCCACGGAAGAGGAGAGGGAAGATTGCAAAATCAACCCCACCGGACAGAGTATCTATAAACTTCAAGTGGGACCTGAGAAGCAACAGAGAAGCCCAGGAGGGCATAGAGAAGTTGTGAGACTTCCAGGATGGAGCTGAGAGACATGGGAGACAAGGTTGCAGAGATCCAGAAGTGCTTAAGGAAGCCGTGGGACTTAGCAGGCAGCTCCTAGGTAGAGAGACATGGAGGAATCCAATAGAGGGAGAGGAGTAAATGATGTCTTAGTAACTAGAGAGTGCCCACAGGGAGGGGCCCTGAATGGTGTAGCAGGCTCTAGGAGCTAGAAAGAGGACACTTACTAATTAGGAGAAGAGGGATGAATGGATAGAACAGGTAGAGGGAAGAAGCAGCTGAAGAGGTGGATTCTAGGAACTGGAATCAAATATGGTGGGTGGCAGAAGCCAGCAGAAACAAATGATCCATACACACCTTAAGAGAGACAAATCAGCAACTTGAATTAGTTTGAAATGTTGAGATGTGGGCATAACTGAGATGTGGGCATAATTGAAAGGAAAACCTAGCATCAGGTACCAATGCTACCTGAAGAGAGGGAGCTCATGAAGGGAGTAGTATTTAGAGACCCTTGTATGTTAGAAAATGGGGTAGGTAGTGAAAAGGGGAGAAAGCAGAGGGTGACCCAAAGGTAAACCTTTCTATTTGTGTATAAGAAGTTCTCTATGGTCAGAGAACACAGACAAGGTATATCCTTGAACAGTATATTCTAATGTTTTGATGAGTTTGCACTGAACATAAAGGAAGGTCCTACTTGGTCACCCAGCTCCCCATGGACATATCCCTCCTTTTCTGTAACCTGGAGAGATAAGGGGCTAGTTAAGTTCAGAAGGTGTAGGCCTGGGACCTGGAGGAGGGCCTGATGAAGCTTCTAAAGTAGTTTGGTAATGGATTCAAGAAGGGGTTCATGTAGGGGTGAAGGGCCACTTCATATAGGGGGCAGACAATAAGAGAGGAAGAAACCCAAAGAAACTGGCCATCCTTAGGAAGGATAGAATTCCATCCATGGTGGTGAGAACTGTGAGTGACTGAATTAAGTATTCTCCATCTAGGATAATGACCTTGTCAGTTGGAGTGATAGCTAAGCCCAGATGTGGATGGACAGCTGAACCATAGAGGGTGAGACCTTATATCCCTGTCTGGACAAAAAACTGAATAAGGTAAAAGTGTTGGCCTGGCTAATTTGCAGGGGTAGACAACAAAGGAGAAGATCAGGGCGTGGTCAGGCACACCTGTAGCCAGCCCTTAGGAGGCGTGGTTACTGTGTCTCCCTACACAGCTATGTATTGTGTAAGCGTGGATTCAGGAAGAGACAGAGAGAATAAGTCAGAGGTAGAGCCTGGCCAAATAGATGTGGGATGTCCCAGTAGAACAGTCCAGGATAGTTGGGTGGAAAGATGAGTAGCCCGGTCAGTCCAAGTAAAGGCAAAGAGATACTTTGACACTGGGGATTGAGAGGTATGGAAAAGAGTTATCCTTGAGTCCCAGGACAGAGAAATGGAAGGAATCTGAGAGGATGACGGAGAGGAGAGTATGGAGGTTGGGTACCATGGGGGCAAAGGGAACCACTGCTGAGTTGATAAGCTGGAGATCTTATGGTAGGTTCCATTTGGGTTTTTAACTGTGAGTATGGGGTTACTAAAGGGGGAAGGAGTGGGGCAAAGAATATTCTTTCTTTCTTAAAAGGTCAATGATAAGAACCTTAAGACCCCTGAGGCTGTGGAGAGAGTTGATATTGAGCCTGGGTGATATATTTGGTGGAGTTTGATGAGGCAGGTAAAGCTGTATCACTCTACCCTGACAATAGAGGAACAAGATGATGTAGGTTCCTAAAACTCCATTTGAACTATGTAGGTGCCCCCAGTGTCCAGAAGAAGAGACAGATCACCCTGATACTGTGATGTCTACCCCAGGCTCCCGGTCAGATATGGCAGTGGTCAGGCCAAGGGAGTCTGGGCACCCTCATTCATCCATGGTCAGACTTAGTAGCTTGGCTGAAGAACCTTCTGGACTTGATGTCCTCATAACACAAGAGACATGGGCACATTCAATACACCAATCCCTTCTTGATGACACCTTGGACATAGTCTGGTGGTATATGTGAGTTCAGACAGGCCTGGACCCAGGGAACCTCCTGGCTGCATTTGAAACAGGGGCAGTTGCTATTGCCAATGGAAAGGCCTTCACTAGTATCAGGTATTTTTTTGTTTCCAGCTTTTTCATCTCTTTCCTTGTATACCTTAAAGGCCATTGATAAGACTTGTGCCTGTGGAGTCAGGGTTTTTTTTTTTTTTTCTAGACATTTAAGTTTGGCCTAATATCAGGGAACCTCTGGGAGAAGAAGTAGGTCATAAGGAGTTGTTTTCCATCTGGGGTCTCAAGATTCACATTTGTATATTTTAAGAGGGCCTCTGTGAGGCAGTCTAGGAATTGAGATGGATTATTATGTTTGTCCTGGATGACCACTTGGATTTTTTTTTTCATAATTTACCACTCTAAGGGTGGCCTTGTGAAGACCAGCCAGGAGACAAGCTACAAATAGGTCCCTAACATGGATGCCCCCTGGGTTATTGTAATTCCAATCAGGGTCCTGCTTGGGGAACTGCCTCAGCCCTGACTATATGGGCAGCCTTAGCTGAGGAGGAAGAAAGAGAAACTAGAGAGACTGGAGAGGAAGAGAAGAGACTGGGATGAGGCCGAGAAGAGGAAGGCTTTTTATTGTGATTAAAAATAGTGGAGGAATCATCTGGTTTTGGCCTCAAAACGAGGAGCTGATTTTTTCCTTGATTGGCTTATGCCACGTGGTCATTTTTCATCAGCATGGGAGTGAGGTCCTGTAGCAAAGTCCACCCTTCCCACCCCTAGGAAAGATGGCTGTCAGCCACATGGCTGCCTCCACCCTAATCAGGGGACAGCAGATAAGGTGACAGTAAACTAGGGTTCCTTTAAGATTACTTATGCATAGACTTTCACTATCAACCCAGATGTTAAGAGTTTTAAGCTAACCCTTTGTTACAGAATTTACATTGTTTTAATCATACCCGATGTTTCTACAAATCTTGAGGTACAGAACGTTTACACAATAGTTTTACAAACCTTGAAACCAGATTTATATCTTAGCAAAGATTTGAGAGAGTCAATCCAAAATCAAAAGAGTGTGAGTTAGATCCCTATGGGGGCTTGTGTTTTGCTCTCCTTTCTCTGTCACAGAGTCAGGTGGCTCTCCTGAACTGGGGCAGAGATTTTTGGAAGAAACCTTTAAATAAGCAAGCTTGGGTCTGGAGGAGGGGGAAGTCATACCGTACTTCCAGAGTCTGCTTTCAGTTGAATTGGGACAGCATACAACAGCAGGCTGCTGCCACTCAGATCTAAAAGACACCTAGGTCCTTGTGAAACTGAATCCAGTAAGCTGAGGACAAAAGAAGACTTAGACATAGGCTAATTTTGAGCTCTAGCTATAGACAGAGGCCAAAGCTGGGAGCTGAGACACAAACCAGTCGGTAAAGTGTGTGTGTGTGTGTGTGTGTGTGTGTGTGTGTGTGTGTGTGAAGCCATGGGAGGTGGGCGAGACTAGACAAAAACAAACAGGGCTTAAAGGGGAAAAGAGAACAAGAAACCTCTTTTCCTTTCCAGATTGTGGGCAGTATTGGAAAGATCCCAAATAGTATTAGGATCTAGGGTGACATTTAGCGGCCGTTTGTGTTGCTTTTCTAAGGAGTATTGCGCCCAATTTGCAAAAGAAAATAAATTTAGGGTTCTTCAGGTCAGGTGTCAGATGGAGAGGATGGAGGTTTTCTAAGAGGCATCCCAAGAGGGAATGAGAGAGTATGGAAGACTCCATTCCCATGGATGAGAGAGGGTAAGGAAAATGTCACTGCAGCCTGTAGTGACCAGCATCCCTAGGACTCACAGACGACCAAATGAAGACCAAGTCATTCAGTGGGTCATTAACACAGTCAACACCAGGGGTCAGGGGGTAGCCTGACCAAGCCAGAGGAGAGACTCAGCTCTTGGCACCAGGGTTTTTGTAGAGGCCACAAAAGTGGGACTTAAAAATCCAGCTGTAAAGAGGGGGCTCACCCACAGGCATGGGTTAGAGGATGGAGTTATAAAAGGCAAGAAGGCCTAAGAGGAGCTGTGGGATTACATGCAGCTCCTAAAGGAAAACAGGAGAAGAGGGTGGGGAAGGGGCTTGAAAAGTTTGGTTGGGCCTAAGGAAACTTCAGGATTGCACCTACAAGGGTTGGGGGATGAGGTCAGGTAAGGAGGGCCAGCTGTATAATTGTTGTGGGTGGATGGGGTGTTGAGCGATCAGTGAGCTGGAAGGTGAGTTGTTGTAGGCAGACTAGAGATGAGAAAGAGGGAGCCTTGAGGATCTTAGCTGCCCCCCCCCCCAGAGGAAACTCAGGCACTGGGAGGGCATAATCCAGGTTTTGGCACCAAATGTTTAAGTGTTATAGTGAAAGATTAAAAAATTAGCAAGAAAACAGATGTGGCTCTGCCACCTACCCACCTGCCCCCCTTTCAGGAAGAATTGCTCCTGGCCCAGAGACTTGCTGACCAAGGCCCCATGACTCAGTTCCTGGAATCTCCCCTACAAGGCCATAGATAGCTAGAGCTCCAAGAATTTCCAGAAGGCTGCACTCCCTAGAGGAGCCCATTAAGGGAACTAACTGACCAGGAGTCAAAGAGTGATAAATAAGTTCTTGAAAAACAAAGACCACTGTCTTAGGCAAGATTGATTAGCACATTCTGAGGTTTGGTCTGTTTGCCCAATAGATGGGCCTGGAGAGTTGCAGCCCCCCCCCCCCGGAAGCTTATGGTTTTTGCCTTTAAAAACGCCTGTGCCTGTGGAATGCTGCTGCTCTCTAGCCTGCATGCCGAGAGGGCCCATTTGTACAAATGCTTCCCGTTCATTAAAGCCTCTTGCTCATTGCATCAACTGGACTGGACATTGAGTTCCTGGGGCAGGGGACAGGCCAGATTGGGGAGACTCCTCACCTCGAGGGTCTTTCATTAGCTCAGATGGAAAGGTGTCCTGGCAGTTGGGAGCCAAAGAATACCACAAAGTCACACCTCACAACAAACTTCACACAAGAGATTTATTGGGAAAGGAAAAATCCAGAAAGGTGGATGCCACTGCTTAGAAACTGAGCAGAAGGTAGGATTTAAAGAGTTTCTTCTGTGTTGGGGTGTGTGTGTAACTTTTCAGGGTGAAGCTTTCTATATGGGGATTGGTGGGATTTCAACTCCTGAGCTTGGGCTTTTTAATCTGTACAGTGGGGGCTGGATCCAGCCGTTAGGGCAGTCAGAGTATTCTATGAGTGGAATCTGGAAGTTGGAGGTCCTCAGAGGAGGGACCTGGGGCTTACAGGAGGGCTACTGATATTTCTTTATTTAATCTTGTATCCAGCCACTTTGATGAAGGCACTTATCAGCTGTAGGGGTTCCCCGGTACACTTTTTGGGGTAGCTTATGTAATGAAGACTTTGAAACCATAAGCTAGCTCCAATGAAATGTTTCCTTTATAAGAATTTCCATGGTCTCTTCACAGCAATAAAACCCTAAGACAAAAGTTGGTACCAGGAATGGGGTATTGCTGTAATAGGCCTGCCTATACTTTTGTTTGGAAGCATTTGGACTTCAGGAGTTTGGGTTAGGAAAGTAGTGGAATGCTTTAAGTGCTGCTTAATGGGCTTAAAGTAAGAACATGGTAGACAGTGGTGCTGAGGGTGATTTGAACTGTGAGAGCCTGAGCAGTGGTTTTGGAGGAGAAGAATTTTAGTATGTTGCCTAGAGATCATTCTTGTGATATTTTGTTGAAGAATGTGACTGTGTGAAAAGTCTGGCTGAAACTAAAGGGAAGAAGTTTTGGATTAATTTCCTTGGCAGAGGAAATTGCAAAACATCCTAGTATGGATTCTGTCTTGTGGTTATTATTTTTAACTATAATGAAGTTTTATAATGAAAGGGAGCAGAGCTGAGAAAGTAAAAATAGAAAATGTACAACTTGAGGAGAAAAGGAGCACCATGAAGAGAAATGGAACTATGTCCTGTGTTCAAGTAGATAACCACATTAAGAAACGGAATAAAGGTAGTGGTGGCCTCAGGGCAACATCCCACCCAGGTAAGTTTACAACTTGTGACAAGGAATTAAAGAAAAGCTTAGATCCATGTATAATGGTACATGCGTTTAGTCCCTGCACTGGGAAGTCAGAGGTTGGCAGACTCTGAGTTTGAGGCCAGCCTGCTCTACAGATCCAGTTTCTGGACAGCCAGCCTTAGGCAGTGAAGGACAGAAAGCATACTAAAATGTAAACAAGGAGACCATGTTCCAGCCCCAAATAGCAGCAGAACCTGGCAGATTTGGCCATGTGGTTCTATTTTTGAGTTAAGGATAGAGGAAACAGGTTATGAAAACTTCATCCACGACTAAAGAAAGCTATTGAGACCAAGCATCTCTCAGAGGCGTACCTGAATGAAGGCCTAGAAGAAAGACTATTGCATGAAGCTGTGAAGTTGAAGCTTGGACTTCCTTGGAGACCCCAAGATATTAAAGATGCCAGACTGATGGGATGTCTACCAAGAAGAGCTGCTAACAAGGAGTGGAACCAGCTCAAGAGAAGAAGTGTATTGAAGTCAACAAAGCTGAACAGAGATGAAGATCTGAAGAGTATTTTGACATTAAACATAGAGATACAGAGTTTGGAGTCTGCTCAGCTGGATTTCGGTCTTGTGTTGGTTCAATATTTCCTCAGTATGTGCCCTTTCCTATGTTTTCTAGGGTAATGTTTATCTTGTACTATTATATGTGGGAAGAATGTGATCAGTTTTTATTTTGTAGGATATTATAGTTAAGAGATTGTATGACTCTCAGAAGAGACTTTGAACATTGTTGAAAACCAGACAACCTGTTTGAATGTGTCTAAAAGGGGGAGTAAGTATTGAGAAAAGAAAGAGTAAAAGACAGAAGACAGAGTTGAGAGGGCTCTCAATTAATACTGTATTAATTAATTAATTAATTCGAGATGCCTCGAATTTTTATTTTACATAGCACTTTTATACCCAAAGCAAAAGGAGAGGACAAGGAATGATACAAGGAACAAACAAGTGTAATTACTTCCTTAATTCTCAAAGCATCCAGTAACCATGCCCTTACTAAACATTCTGCCATTTGGTGTTGAGGAGTAAAACATCTAGTAACCATACCTTAGATCAAATATCCTGTTATTTGACCTTGAGGATCAAGAATAGATTTGAACTCTCTGACCTTAAGTCAAGATGGAACGGAGTCAAATCTGTGGGCTCCCACAGAAATTTGGACTTTTAAACATGTTGAGACTGTTATAGACTATGGGGACTTTTCAGGTTGGACTAAATGCATTTTTCATTATGGTATTGTTACAAGCTTATGTGGTTCAGTAGTGGAATGAGGTAGTTGGGATGTCGTTGGCTCCCATAATCTCATATGGAGTGGCAATATTAGGAGATGTGGTTTTGTTGGAGTGGGTATGGCCTTGTTAGAGGAAGTGTGTCATGGTGGGGGCGGGCTTTGAGGTTTCCTATGCTCAGGATACCACCCAGCATCTCAGTTGACTTCCTGTTGCCTGCAAGATGTAGCTCACTCAGCTCCAGCAGCACACGTCAGCCTGCACGCTGCCATACTCACCATCATAATGTTGCTGGATTGAACCTATGAAACTGAAAGCAAGCCACTCCAATTAGATGTTTTTTTTTTCCTCTTTTTAAATTTTTTTCTCACTCTCTTTTTTTAATTAGAAAGAAAATTATTTTACATGTCAATCCTAGGTCCCTTTCCCTCCCCTCCTTTCCTGCTCCCCCAACTAACACCCTACCTATCCCATACTCTTTCTGCTCCCAAGGGAGGGTGAATCCTTCCATGGGGGAGGGTCTTAAAAGTCTGTCTTATTCTTTGGGATAGGGCCTAAGCCAACCCCCTGTGTCTAGGCTCAGGGAGTATCCCTCCATGTAGGATGGGCTCCTAAAGTCCATTCCTAAGCTAGGGATAAGTACTGATCCACTACAAGAGGTCCCATAGATTTCCAAGGTCTTCTCATTGACATCCACATCAGGGGATCTGAATCAGTCTCACGCTGGTTTCCTAGGTATCAGTCTGGGGAACAAGAGCTCTCCTTTATTCAGGTCAGCTGTTTCTGTGGGTTTCACCAGCCTGGTGTGGACCCCTTTACTCATCAGTCCTCTTTCTCTGCAACTGTATTCCAGTTCAGTTCAAGGTTTAGCTGTGGGTTTCTGCTTCTACTTCCACCAGCTGTTGGATGAAGGCTAATTGATGTCATATGAATTAGTCCTCAATCTCATTATCAAGGGAGGGCATTTAAGGTAGCCTCTTCTCTGTTGCTTAGATTGTTAGTTGGTGTCATCTTTGTAGCTCTCCGGACATTTCCCTAGTGCCTAATTTCTCTTTAAACCTGTAATGTCTCCCTCTATTATATTATCTCTTATCTTGCTCTCTTCTGTTCTTTCCCAAACTCATCCTCCCTGCCCCATCATGTCTTCCTCAACCCTCCTCTTCTCCCCTTCTCATTCTCCTATTTCCCCCTCCCAATTTGCTCAGGAGATACTGTCTCTTTCTGCTTCTCCAGAGTATCATGTATGTCTCTCTTAGGGTCCTCCTTGTTTCCTAGCTTCTCTGGCAGTGTGGATTGTAGGCTGGTAATCCTTTACTCTATGTCTAAAATCCACATATGAGTGAGTACATACCATGTTTGCCTTTTTGTGACTGGGTTATCTTGCTCAAAATGGTTTCTTCTACTTCCATCCATTTGCCTGCAAATTTCAAGATTCCATTGTTCCCCGCCCCCCACTGAGTAGTACTCCATTGTGTAAATGTACCACATTTTCTCTATCCATTCTTCCATTGAGGGGCATCTAGGTTGTTTCCAGGTTCTGGCTATTACAAATAATGCTGTGAAAAACAAAAGACCCAGGATAGCCAAAACAACCCTGTACAATAACAGAACTTCTGGAGGCATCACCATCCCTGATTTCAAGCTCTATTATAGAGCTATGGACCTGAAAACAGCATGGTATTGACACAAAAATAGACAGGTAGACAAATGGAATTGAGTTGAAACCCCTGATATTAACCCACACCTATGAACACCTGATTTTTGACAAAGAAGCTAAAGCTATACAGTGGAATAAAAAAAGCATCTTCAACAAATGGTGCTGGCATAACTGGATGTTGGCATGTAGAAGACTTAAGTCCAAATGGATCAAAGACCTCAACATAAACCCAGTCACACTGAACTTATTAGAAGAGAAAGTAAGAAATACCCTTGAATTAATTGGTACAGTAGACAGCTTCCTGAACATAACACCAGTAGCACAGATACCGAGATCAACAATTGATAAATGGGACCTCCTGAAGCTGAGAAGCTTCTGTAAGGCAAAGGACACAGTCAACAAGACAAATGACAGCCCACTGATTGGGAAAAGATATTTACCAACTCCACATCCAACAGAGGGCTGATCTCCAAAATTTACAAAGAACTCAAGAAGGTAGTCTCCAAAACACCAAATAATCCAATTAAAAAGTGGGGTACAGAACTAAATAGACAATTCTCAACAGAGGAATCTAAAATGGCTGAAAGACACATAAGAAAGTGTTCAATATCCTTAGCCATCAGGGAAATGCCAATCAAAACAACTCTGAGATCCCACCTCACACCTGTCAGAATGGCTAACATCAAAAACACCAATGACAGTTTATGCTGGAGAGGATGTGGAGAAAGGTGAACACTCCTCCACTGCTGGTGTACAGCCACTTTGGAAATCTGTGTGTCGATTTCTCAGGAAAATGGGAATCAGTCTACCACTAGATCCAGCAATTCCACTCTTAGGCATACACCCAAAAAGAAGCACATTCATACAATTAGACGTTTCCTTTATAAGAGTTGCCATGTCATGGAGTCTCTTCACAGCAACAGAAACCCTAAGACACTGTCAAGTTGCTTTTGGTCAAGGTCTTCATCACAGCAATAAAAAACTAAGTAGGACTCTGAGTCTTCTAGGGAGGATCTTTCATCCCGAGGTTAAGAGTCACTCTACAAGAAGAAAGATGTTAGGTATGATTATGAAATTTTAATTCAGTTGAATCTCAGATGCAGATTCAAAGAAAGCATGGAAAGAGAAGCTAAAGGGGCATGGCATATAAAGTAGTTAGATAATTTCTTGAACTTTAAACTTCCACATCACAGTATTAATTGGTTTGAAGATAAGAAGTAGAATAAGTTCTCTCTTGTGGATAGGACCGAATCTGCTTTTCCAGAGGCACACACAACTGAGACCATGGCATTTGATGGCAGTTGGAAAGTAGACCGGAATGAGAACTATGATAACTTCATGGAGAAAATGGGTAAGAGTGTCTACCTGGGCGACTCATTGTTTGCTTTCTCCTGCCTGTGCCTTAGGAAATGACTGGTGATGTGTAAGGCTCCAGGTGTGACTGTCCAGAGCCAGGAAATCCATATCCACTCTTCCTGCTTTAGGAAGAACAACTTGTCTCCCCAGGGCAAGTGTTAATTAAGCCCCTGTATTTTCTTCCTTTGCCTGTTAATTGTGCTTACATAACTGAAAGCATTTTTTAATGTAAAAATGTAAATGTAATGTAAAGCATTTCTTTAAATGTAAACATTTAAAGAAAGACAACTGTAGTAAGTTTTGATCATTCCCAGCATTTAAAATAACACTGGATTATAGGAGGGAAAAGAACAAGGAACTTTTAATAAAGTAAGAAGATAATTTTATCAAAACTCACCTTGAATAAATTCTATGTAAATTCTCTTCTCTGACTTATCTAACTTTAGGAATAAATACAGAAAGCTGTGTGTTCTTTCCAGAGGTTGATTTGACAATAGTAAAAATGTCTACTAATATTCTGGCAACCCACACTACAAATTGTGCAAAAAATATGTGTCATTTCTCAAAATAAAACCTGCATAAATTATGTCTCATATTTTAGGGATTCCAAATTTAAGTTAATGAAATTTGTACATTCATATTATAATGAATTTCATCATAAAATCTCTAATTTTCCTGGCTTGAGGCAATCAGAAATGCCACAAAAAATAAGTATAACTATGAAGCAAGCAAAGCATGGTGCTGTATGCCTGTGATCTTAACACTTTTGAGAATGAAATGGGAGGATTTTGAATTAAAGGCTAGCCTGGGCTATGCAGCAAGTTTGGGGCCTAACTGGGCTATTACCAAAACCCAGTTTCAAACAACAATGAAATAAATGCAATTTTAAAAGCAATGTAGTATTGAAAAATTAATAAATATCCAGAACTGAACTTGTGTTTCTTTAATATATGAATATACCTCTTAATATTCCACTTGACATTTCTGGAATTTGACTGAACTCTGAAGCACAAAGGTTGTTAATCTTGTTGAAATGACCCAGGGCTAAGGTGCTACAGTTTGTTGCTTCATTTCCATTTTCTTAGTTTGGAAAAGCTGCTTGAAGCAGTTCTCTGGGTCTTCCAGAGCTTCCCCTTTCTCTAGAAGCATCTCAGTGTTGCTGTGCACACACAACCCTATTTGCTCTTTCTTCTCCACCTACAGAATAAGCATGAGCAAACCAGGACAGAGTTTAGAAAGGGAAACACTTTCCGCGGCATTTTCATTTCTTGTTCCTTCCAATCTCTCTCATTGTGCAGGCATTAACTTGGTGAAAAGGAAGCTTGCAGCTCATGACAATTTGAAACTGACCATCAAACAAGAAGGAAATAAATTCACTATTAAAGAATCATGCAGGTTTCGAAACATTGACGTTGTGTTTGAACTTGGTGTCAACTTTGACTATACTCTAGCAGATGGAACTGAACTCAATGTAAGACATTTTTTTATAAGCAATGCATTCTTGATTTTTTTTTTTTACCAATAATAGTTCATCTCGTGGAATTGTTCAACTAACGAAACGCCTCTAGATTTATTGAAGAGGCCAATGAAGTCTGTTTGTATTTTATTTTACACACATCATTGGCAAATGTTTAGACATAGTATTTGATTGTGATATGCATCTGTGAAAATGTGATGCTGAACAATAAGATTTATAAAAAATCCTCTTAGATGGACAAATACAGTGACAGGCACAAGGAAATGTGAAGTTCAGTATTTTCAACTTTTCATGCTAGGAGAGCACAAGCTTTCGGTGTTCAGAATATTCAAACACAGTGTTTATATATGTACCTGGACAATAAAGGAGAAGCCGCAAATGTAGCTTAATCAGGAGACTGTAGCAAGCACAAAATCCTGGGTTTCGTTTCCAGCACTGTATAAAAACTGGGCATGGTCACCCCTGCCTGTAATCCCAGGGAAATGGAGTCAGGAGTATCATAAAGTCAAGCCTCTCCTCACCTGCAGAGTAAGTTTGAGGTGAGCCTGGGCTACATGAGCTCTTACTTTAAAAATTGACTAAAAATTAATGAGTGGGTGAGTAGCCAAATATGAAGGTCTAAATCATGGTAGGTCATTAAGAATGTCCCTTTCGGACTTTGAGATCCCATCCCACATGAAGGGGTACACTCTGGCCCTGGACACATGGGGAAGGGCCCAGGCCCAGCACAGGAAGATTTGGTGGACTTTGCAGAGCCCCTGTTGAGAGCCTTACCCTGCCTGGGAGTGGTAGGGGGATGGGGGGGGGGGGAGGGGGGGGAGAGGGAGAAGGGACTTACATGAGAAACAAGCTTGTTCCCTAACTTGAACTAATAAAAAAAAAAGAATGTCCCTTTCACCAAACATTATGTGGAGCTCAGAAAATTCTGTGGAAGAAGGTGGAGGGGTAAGGATTGTAGGAGCCAGAGGGGTCAAGGACACCACAAGAAAACCCATAGAATCAATTAACCTAGGCTCATAGGGCTTACAGAGACTGACTTGACAACCAGGAAGCCTTCATGGGACTAACCTGGGCACTCCAAATATAAGTGACAGTTGTGTAGTTTAGTCTTCTTGTGAGACTCCTAACAGGGGAGCAGGGGCTGTCTCTGACTCTTTGCCTGCTCTCATAACTCTTCTCCTTGTGCTGGGTTGCCCTGTCTAAACTTAATAAGAGGGGAAGTGCCTAGTCTTACTGCAACTTGATATGCCAACTTTGGTTGATATCAATGGGAGGAGTGGATGGGGGTGGTGTGGAATGGGAGGAGAAGAGGGAGGGCAAACTTTGGTGAGGATGTAAAAAAAAAAAAAGAATGTCACTTTCACTGTTTATTGATGGCAGACACCTTTAATCCCAGCACTTGGGAGGCAAAGGCAAGTGGATCTCTGAGTTTGAGGTCAGCCTGGTTTACATAGTGAGTTCCAGGTTGGCCAGGGCTACACAAAGAAACACTGTTTTGAAAAACAAAAAGGAAAAAAAAAGGGGGGGAGCAGTATGTTTGCAGTGACAAGTGTGTGTGTGTGTGTGTGTGTGTGTGTGTGTGTGTGTGTGTAGTGGTTGTACATGCCCACATGGCCAGAGGAGGTCATCAAGTGCCTTGTGGTGCTGCATATCTTATTCCCTTGAGACAGGGTATCTCACTCAACCCGGAGGCAGGCTGGTGGCCAGAAAGCCCCATGGTCCTCCTAGCTCTCCTCTCTACAGCATGGGTATCATAGGCATATGTGAGCACACTTGGCTTTTTACATGGATTCTGGGGATTTGAGTTCAGTTCCTCAGGCTTGTGTTGCAAGTTCTCTCACCAGCTGAGTCATCTTGTCAGCCCTGCAGGGACAATCTACCTGTTGCATACTTTATCACTAATGATAATCACTCCTCATCTGCACGAATATCCAGTATATAGCAATTGTCAGCTGAGTGGTGCTTACAGTTCCCAGCACAGCCTTGACTCTCACAGCTCATGACCAATCAATCTTCTTTCTGATGTCTGAGGAATTGCTATGTCATTTCTCAGTCTCCACAGATGTAAAATGGAAGTAATGAATTACTCCATAGAGTCCATAGGGTCACTGAGTGACGATGTTTGTCTGTAAACTGGAAATCGTGTTAGAAACATGTAAGATCATAATAAATACTGACTAATTATTATGATGCAGGGGACCTGGAGCCTTGAGGGAAATAAACTTATTGCAAAATTCAAACGTGTAGACAATGGAAAGGAGCTGATTGATATCTGCGAAATTTCTGGTGGTGAACTAATCCAGGTAAGTTGTAAGAAAGATTTCTAATTACATTCCAAAGACAAAAATGATTATGAACAAGACTTTTGTCACTGTGAGTTCTTCCTTGTGGTGGTTTGAAAGAAAATGGCCCCCATAGGGAGTGGCACTATTAGGAAGTGTGGCTTTGTTGAAGCAGGTGTGGTCTTGTTGAAGGAAGAGTGTCACACGGGGGTGGGTTTGAGGTCTCCTTTGCTCAAGCTCTGCCCAGAGTAACACAGAGTCCGCTTCTGTTGCCTGTGTTCAGGACAGCTGTAGAACTCTCAGCTCCCTCTCCATCAGCATGTCTACCTGCTTGCCTTCACATCTCACCATGAGAATAATGCAAACTCTGAAACTGCAATCTAACCCCAATTAAATGTTTTCCATTATAAGATTTGTCATGGTCATGGTATCTCTTCACAGCAATAAAACCCTAAGACACAGTTTTAATAAGTAAACTTACTTATTTCATACGTGTGAGTGATATCTGTTAATTGAGGAATGTTAACATATATACATTTGTCTGATGATGGAGTTTCTGCCCTGCCTGGTCCCACAGCCCTTTAGTCCCCCAGTAAATGCACAGAGGCTTACATTAATTATAAACTGTTGAGTTGATGGCTCAGGCTTCTTATTGGCTAGCTCTCTCTTAATTATTAACCCATTTCTATTAATCTATATATTTCCACATAGTCTTAGCATACTGGTGATGCCCGGTCTCTTTCTTCCTCGTCAGCTACTGGCATCTCTCTGGCAATTGCTTCTCTCTTCCTTCCTCTTCCCAGAATTCTTAGTCTGGTAGCCCTTCCTATACTTCTCACCTGGCTACATCCTGCTTACCCATTGGCCAAAACAGCTTTATTCATCAACCAGTAAGAGAAACATATTCACAGAATACAAAAGAACATCCCCCATAATCCATCAATTCTCATTTTAATAAAAAACCATAAAAGTCTGCCACCCAAAATGTAATTTTAATGGTCCTATCCTATATCTTCATCAAGTGCTTCTATCAAATATAAGAAATTACAGGGCAGGCTCCAACATTACTATTTTCCTTAATTTGGGATTTTCTCTTAACAACACTTTCTTTTATGTTTGTCAACATCTTTCAGACCTACATATATGAAGGAGTCGAAGCCAAGCGGATCTTTAAGAAGGAATGAGCAAGCTTCTTGGAGCCCAGAGCAAAACCCTGAAGAGCTGAGCTGATGTCAGAGTCATCTCTCCATTGTGTTAATGCCAGGCAGGTTCATCCTTTCATGAACACTGGCATATTCCCAGTCTTGTCAAAGCCCAAAATGTAAAAGCTTGTTAGGACTTCATTTGCTTTATGTTCCTTAAGATTTGCATGAACTGGTTTTTAAAAGGAAAATAAATATTGTTCACACATTGCTCTGTAAGTAGTAGTGCCTCCTTTTTTAAAAAGTTATTTGGCACATGTATTGCTTTGTTGTTTGTTTGTTTATTTGTTTATTTGTTTGTTTGAGACAGGGTTTGTCTGTGTAGCTTTGGAGGCTGTTCTGGAACAAGCTCTTGTAGACCAGGCTGTTCTCAAACTCACAGAGACCTGCCTGTTTCTGCCTTCCAAGTGCTGGGATTAAAGGCATGTGCCACCACTGCCCAGCTTGATGACTGTTTTTTTTTTTTAAGTGTGTGTGTGTGTGTGTGTGTGTGTGTGTGTGTGTGTGTGTATTTATGTATATATGTATTCATGTCTGGGAGTGCTTGTACACATGTGTTTGGGTGTGTATGGAAGCCAGAAGTTGGCACTGAATATCTTTTTCTAATCCTCTTCACTATATCTTGGGAACAGGATCTCTAACTGAGCCTGGAGCTCATCCATCAGTGACTGGGGACCCTCCTGTATCTACTGCCCTCTCCGCACTGGGGTTACAGGGGTACACCACTATGCCAAGGTTCTATGTGGGTGCTAGGGGTCATAGCTCAGCCCTCCTCATTGTGCAGAAAGTGCTTTACCCCCTGAGCCATCTCAGATATCAGTTCCCTTTGTGTTAATACCGACCCTGTAAACTACTTACCCAGTCCTATCCCTAGGAGCTGAGAGTTCTTAAGTGTTCTCAAATGAACAACTAGACAACCCCAGAAAGACATTCATGGGCACTTGAAGATCTAAATGTGTAGGTAAGGTAGCTGCATGATATAGAATGGAAGCTAGAGGAGGTTTTGTGGGGATGGGAAACAGGGTGGATACTCTAATTATGCAATGGGGCTTTACCTTATGTTGATTAGAGTATAAGAGTGCCATCTACTGGGCAACAGCATGAACTCTTTCCATTTGTGTTCTGGTGTCTGCAGCATAGACATCTGATATACCATGTTCTAAAGTTTAAAATGATAATTGAATGCTTATGTGATTCCAAATTCCATACAAACAAACTAATACAAAGATTCACTTTTATTTCTACCGAATTAATTGCCTAAACGGAAACACCATTAACCATTTGTTCAGGGTTATCTTTGTTTTGAGTCAGGATACCTAAAACAGCACTACCATCTTGAAAAGTAAGTAGTCACCAGCTGTTTGCTAACGCACAGGGTAATTTACATCTACCTTGCTCAAGCCTCGCAGCCAACACTCAGGCTAGTTATACAATTGGCTTTATTGAGGAACTGAAAGAAGGGAAGAGTAAGCATGATAATGACAGCTGAGAAACATCAGGTGGCGTGGAGCAAATCAGTGTCATAGTAGGAGCTGTTCCAGAGGGTGTCTCAGTTCACCTGTCCTCACTAAGGGTTCTGTTAGAACACAGGGTTACAGAAGTTCCACAGTATGTAACCCAGATTACCAACAATAAAGAGAGAACTTAAAATTTCAGTCTAGCAGTCAGTGTTTAGAACTGTGAGAAGATGGAAGATTTGTAGAAATCAGAAGGGAAATGTCTGGAATCTTATTTTAACTATGTAAATACTGTTACATTTGTTTATGCTATGGGATAGTACTTTATGTGAAATTGTGTTACATTCATTTATGCTACATTTGTTTAATGATGTAAGGAAGTGCTTCATTTGTTTATGCTGCATTTGTTTAATTAAGTGAAGATATGATGCATTTATTTCCCCTTGCCTACCTAAGGCACCTGATAAGTAGGAGGAGAAATCTAGGCTGGAGGAAAAGGAGAGAAGGATAAAGAAAATGAAGGAGAAAGAAAGGGACATGCCAGAAGTCTGGCAGCAGACAGCTAGCCAGCCAGAAATGGAGACAAAGGGAAAGAAAGGTAAAAAGCTCCAAGGCAAAATGTAGATACAGATAAATAGATTTTAAAAAGAGCTAAGATACAGCCAAGCACTCATAACTAATAAGAAATCTTGGTGTCTTGATTTGGGAGCTGGTTGGTACCCAAAATAGAACCTGTTACAGGGAAAGACCTGAGTTCTCTTGAGTCTAAACCCCATTTCAAAGATATATCCTCCAGTTTCCTTTCCAAATAATTCTATCACATATCTTCTCTCTCTCTCTCTCTCTCTCTCTCTCTCTCTCTCTCTC